TTGCTGATTTGCTTCAGCATTTCAAAACAGTCTCACGTTGTCGGCAGGATTCGAACCTGCGCGGGGAGACCCCAATGGATTTCTAGTCCATCGCCTTAACCACTCGGCCACGACAACCCATGCATGTGATCAATTTCATAAGATCAGCTCCATCTTCAAAATATGGAATGCAAATAATGAAAGTATGACAAAACACCAAATGGTCTTCAGTTTATAACACAGAAAAACAGCAAATCCTCGTTTCTGACAAGCTGTAACCACAGATGGTTTGAAGTTCAGGACTGAAGACTTTTATGTGACACATGCTCATACAGTGCAGACAGTAAAATGCAATGACTGTTCCACATGGCTCTGCAACAACAACACAACATGATACCAAACCGTCCTAAGTGATAATAAGGGTCATAAATAATGAGGAGTAAACAGATTGTAACTCTAAAGTGATGCACATCTATACGTTATATATATATCTACATTTTATTGAAAATTAATTCACTGATCATCACAATGTTTGACAACTGTTTCATAAAATAGCACATTAATGCTGCGTACTGATGTGGAAAAGTGATCATCTTCTGCCACAAACTGATGCTCACACAGTTTGCAGATCATTTGCCTTTTATACTTCCATCGCATTTTGATTACATTTGTGGTCATTTCTTGTACTGAAACTTCATTTGAGTTCATTACTGCTATTTGCACTTTGCCTATTTATATGTGTTTTAAAAAAGAAAGCTTTAAAACTGAGATATATTTTGTGGGTCTTTTGGTGCAACAGAGAAGACAAATGTACCAAAAATCTCATTACATCCGTAGTGGTCAGTGAGTCCAGTGAACTAAGGTTCTCATTCATGTTCTGTTAAACCAACATGGCGAGCAGTGAGTCACAGAGTACTTTATGAGGCTAACTTTACTTTTAAAAAAGTGGATTTCAGAAAAAAGAAAAAAAAACTAAACCATGTTTCCGCCCGGTTTCGAACCGGGGACCTTTCGCGTGTGAGGCGAACGTGATAACCACTACACTACGGAAACTGCTGGTAAGCGCTGCGTTCAAGGACATCACTCAAAGCTGGGACCAAGTCCTCACTACGCAAGTTCTCGACGTATTTTCAACACAAGTTAACGTTAACAGAAGCTAATTGTAAAAAACTACAACTTACAACATTTCTGTTTTATTAGAATAAATTTTTAGCTTGTTTCTTGTTTGTTTGTTTTTTTGCTTGATGCAGAAATAATAGTAGTAATAATAAAGTTTATTTGTATAGAACTTTTTAAGAACAGAATTCGCAAAGTGCTTTTACATAATAAAGAAATACAACACACAGGGACAAGGTAACAGGAAAACAACATGTGTCAAAAGGACAGGCAAACACTCAAAATATAAAAATACACACAACAAACATGGAAAAGAACAGGCTGGGTCACTATTGGAAGGTGTACCAGTAAACCTGACTAAAAAGACGACATCACAGAGAGGAATGAAGACAAAAGCTGAAGATAAAAGTAGAGTAAGAAAGAGAAAAGAGAGAAGGACAGCAGGCAGTACCAATATAAAAAGGGAAAAGAAACCGGCGAAAATCTAAAAGAGAAATAAAAGAGAACATCACTCGAAAGCGAGTCCATAAAAGTGGGTTTTTATGAAGTGATTTAAAAGAAGATACTAAATCTGCAAGCCTTACTTTCTAAGGTAGGTCGTTCCAAAGCCAAGGGGCCCTCACAGGAAAGGCCCAGTCGCCTTTGGATTTGAGCGTCGACTTTGGAACAATCAGGAGGGACTCACCTGAGGATCTGAGCTGTGTGTGGGGATATACGGGGTTAACATGTCTAAAATACAGCCAGGGGCAAGGTCCTGGCGAGCTTTAAAAGTGATCAGTAAAATCTTAAAATCAATTCTAAACCAGACAGGGAGCCAGTGGAGAGAAGCAACAACATCTCTCACCTCCAACTTCTGAACAAGTTGGAGGCGAGAGATGGATTTTTGTGAGATGCCAGATAAGAGGGAGTTGCAGTAATCGAGACGGGAGAAGATGAGGGCACGGATGAGTCTTTCAAGGTCTGACTGAGGGGGGATTGGTTTGATTTTGGAGATTGTTGTTAGCTGGAGGAAACAAGACTGGATGGTTTTATTAATATGGGGGGTAAAGCTGAGGTCTGAGTCGAAAAGGACACCTCGGTTTCTGGCAACAGGTTGAACATTTATGGCAAATGAACCCAGATTGTTGTCGGTAAGGCTGTTCCGGGGATTTGGAGGATTGAAGAGAATGATGTCTGATTTGGAAAACAGTAAAAACAGTTAAAAACAGCAGCTAGGTCTCAGCGGGAGGTGTGTCTGTGTGTCATCCGAAAGTTAAACTTCTAAAGTCTGGTTTATGTTTTCAACAAGTGAATTGACATTTCTCACTTAAAACTATGTAAGCTGGTGGTTGTAAGCTAGCTGCTGGTAGCACATTCAAGTTAGCTAATGCTAATACAGCTAAAAACACACAAGAATGGCTCAGAGGAAAACACTGGATTATTCTGAAGTGGCCTTCTATGAGCCCTGATCTAGATCCTATTGAACATCTGTGGAAGGAGCTGAAACATGGCGTCTGGAGAAGGCAGCCTTCAAACCTGAGACAACTGGAGCAGTCTGCTCATGAGGAGTGGACCAGAACACCTGCTGAGAGGAGCACAAGTCTCATTGACAGTTACAGAAATCATTTGATTGCAGCGATCGCCTCAAAAGGTTGAGCAACAAAATATTAAGTTAAGGGTGCCATCACGTTTGTCCAGGCCTGTTTCATGAGTTTATTTTTTAAAATAATTCTGTTAAACCACGGTTCAAAAGCAATGTCTGATTTTCATTGGTTCATTTTCATAGAATTTTTATTTATTATTACTTTTTGTCAGATTCAAGTTATTTCTGTGACCGTTGTGGGTTTTTCTTTAACTAAACGAGGGCGACCAACTATTTTGTCCACGTGTATGTCTGTACCAAGTAGCATTCCGCTCCAGAGTTGTCAAGTCATTTCCTCGAGATACTGTCAACCGATTAATCCTCTGGAAAGCATGAATGCTAGCAGCACAAAAAAATGAAATAAATTTTGTGTAACAAATGTAACATTTGTTTTGATTTCTTCAGTCAGAGTGTGATTTCTCAAACCTATTCCAGGACCTTCGTGAGGATGCCAAACCTCAGGTTGGGAAACACTGTATCACAATTACACAAGATTTCAGCGACATCTTTAAAAAGAACACATTATTTTATTTGTAACCATCCTTCACTTAAGTACAAGCAATCAATATTTTTTGGTATTTACACTTCAGGCTTTTTATATTTCACAATCAATTAAAGGAAAGCTGAACTAAAACAGGAACAGATGGTGGAAAAATCAATGTTGGCAATGTAAAATGCTCACAAAAGTCATTGTATGCGTCTAGGCTGGCTGAAAAGATTGTTTTATTTGCAATTTTGTTCTCGCATCAAGAGTCCAGAAGCATAGAAGAAAGAAAATCTAATAAAGAAAGACATGAAAAATACATTAACCACACAAAACCACATTTAACAGCTCAACAACAACCAGCCCTCTCAGAAACCAAGAGGATGAAGGCAAAGCAGAGGAAAAAGTGCATCTGTAAGCTAAAATAATGAAGCGTCAGAAGGCTTTCAAACGCACGCTGATTTGGGACAAGAGTGCATAGGGAGAAAATGTTCTCCTAGTTTTCCTCAGTAATGCAATGACATCAATTATTCAAGTGTTTGCCTCCTAAATAAATTATAAAGTTCTGGTAAAAACTAGAAGCAATTAGAAAAACAATAACATAGCCATTTTGTTTCTCAGATTCACGTGAAACTTAGCATGTTAGTACTGTGTCTTTTCAAAAAGCAGCTACTATATAGTACTATATATTTACCTTACTGTATAAAATTTGTATCCGATAAAAATGCATAATTGACGTGAAAAAATAAAAATAACAGCATGTAAAAACCAACTGCAGTGGCTGCAATGTGGCTAATAACAGCTAGCTGGTGAGATAGCCTTTGCTACAGCTAATTTACCCACTTTTTAATGTGTTGTGTATTTGAAAAAATAATTTCATGCTCCAACAGTTTGGAAATTTATATACCACATAAAGAACGAAGCTACATCCGATTACAATGGAGAAGGAACACCAGATATTCTGGTCCTGCTAACTGCTAACTAGCCTAGCAAAAGTAGCAGTAGCTGTTTGCATCTTGCGCCAGTGAAACGCACTCAAATTGAGGTGGTGTAAATCATATACTTAATCTAAAATAAAACTGATTCTCTCAACATTTCCCTGTGTTTACATTCAGTGTGAGCTCCTGTGTTGCTTTGTGCAGTTTGTCCTGATAGAAAGTGTGAAAAATCAAGTATTTTAGACACATCAAAACCATCTTCCAAGGAGCAGCGTACACTAAAACCAGGCTCATTGTCCATTTGCATGCTACTAACAACAGGTTTAACGTCAATTGTGGAGAAAAACGATGAGCTGCATCAGTGCCATGCGGATACTTTCTCTGTTTATCAGAGATTAATTCTCCAGTCGCTACACTACTTTGGAGAAAACTTTTACAGATGGTTCACATGCATCGGTATAAATAGAATAAAAGTGCTCCAGAGGCATGTCTTTACTGTGTGCTGTGAAAATACAGAAACCATGAAGATGTTGGCAGAATGGAGTTTTAATTCCTGAAACATTTTACAGACGCAAACCTTGAAAATTGGAGTGAAGAAGAAATTACCAGTTAGTTAACTTGCTAGGAAGTCAGCTAGGCTAATGGCTACCCAGCTTAATTTTAGATTTATGAAATTAGCTTTTTCAGCATACTGTTTGTAAGAGTACTTACGCATTTAGCTAGAGAGAAAAACTGTCTTTAACCAAATAAAGAATAAATAATTGCAGAATTACGTGTCTCCACAGAATGGAAACCAACGGAAGCACAACTGGCATCAATGTGGTACTAAATAAATGGAAGCATTATGGCATTTAGCAGGGTATGCTAGCAGCTGGTTGAGAAAAACAATCTGCAGGTTTTAAAAATGTAATGTGAGAATTTTCTTAATATGGGAACATTATGACCGTGTGTGTTTTCTAACAACAAAAGACTTATGTTCACATACGCTTAGCATCAGTTAGCATTTATGGGGAAGCCTCTGTAGAAAGAAGGAGTTATTATTATTATTTTAGTTAACCACAAGATTGGACATTAGTACACACAGAGGTACCAACAAAAGCTAACTTTGTCTGGTTTAGCTGAGCATTTATATTTCTACTAGCTGCTGTTTCCCAATGAAAGCGTATCTGCAACATCAGCTAGCTGAGGATAAATATATGAAGCGAATAGTTTATTTTAATTGGTCTCTATGTAGCTTTATTTCTAAATACTAAAAATATCCATATCCATATATATAGTATGATACTTAACGGGCAGGTTTAGCTAGAAAATGGCATTCTTTTCAAAACTCAGGCCTAGCTTAACTAATGTACACCACGTTCATTTTGCGCTAGTAGCAGTACCATAAAGGTTTTCTTATTCTTAATTTGCTTAATTCTTAATTTTCCAAATGTTTGAAACCTTATATTTGTTCATAGCATAAACCTAAAAGGTGCAACTGAATCAGCTTAGCTTAGCATTAAAACTGGAAAAAGCTAATGCAGTAAAACCTCCCCATTAGCCACGATTTGTCGTATTTGCATTTAAACAAAAGACATTATGGTGATAGTTGTTGGGCTTTAGGGGTGCTGGTGGTTGTTTTTATAATGTAAGGGAGCACATCTACGCTTGTGAGCAGCTATCTTACCAGGACATTCTAACTTAGTTGACGGTTTAGGAGATAAAAACTTATTTAGATAAACCACTTTTTCACTGAATCACAGTTTTCGTTTGTAGAAATGAAACTCCATTCTGCTTTGCATCGCTGAGCCACAGAGTCACAGTAAAGACCGTCCTCCTGGGTCGATAATATATACACTACGTAAGGATTACAAAAAGATTACTGAGAGTAGGTCGTTACAGGGTAGACAATATTAGTACAAAATTTGAGACTCTTGTTTTTTTTTTTTTACTGGAGTGACATATTGTTGGGTTAGAAGTCAGCTCGTCTGCAGGCAGTATTTTCTTTGATAAATAGGTTTAATAAGGTGTGTATACAGGTGTGCAGATGTGTGTGCCATGTAGAGACATTCATTCATTCGTTGTCTTCTGCTGTCTGACCTTGAGATGGATTCAGACAGTCAGGACAAGGATGCATTTAGCCTAGCTTAGCACAAATAGTGGAAGATAAGGGAAACTGCTAGCCTAGCTTCAACTGTGTGAGTTGAGCCACCTGTGTTTCGTTTTTTACCGACTGTTGGTATGTAATATTTTATGACTTCACTTAAACTCTCAAGGATGTTTACCTATTTTGGCAAATTTTGTTTCAAAATGACTCGACTCCACGTTGTAAACTTGTCTGACAAAAAGCCAAATACAGTTTGTTGTAACTAAGCCTCGACATCCTGCAAACTAAAAAAACAAATAAAATGCTTTTGGAGCCCTGAAAATAGGGCCGTAAAATTCCTGTTGTTAAATTATGTTAGGGAAGCTGTATTGGCAGTGAAGGATTGATCGATCCACTGATCTAGAAACCCAATCTTTACCTGTTGTGTAACTTCACAGGTGCCTGACTCTACCAGCAAACCTTTTGGGACGGTCGAGCATCTCGAAAAAGAGCTCCGAAAGAATTTATACAGCCAACAGCTTTGCAAAGTAAAAATCTAAATAGAAGTGACAGAATAACGAACCAGTTACGCACATTTCAAAAGGTAGAAGCCCTCTCTGTGCAGGTCTGCATGGTGGAAGGTGCATTTAGACCTGTGTGAGGACATTTTTGATTAAGTTAAGGACCATACCACTGATTTAGCACGTTTCAGTCTGTATACTTAGTTATACTGATTCAAATTTAGAAAAGTATCCCATCAGATTTTAGATTGGGGTGTTTAGCGCTCATCGTTGGTGTCGGTTTGTTTAAATCGGCCACGCAAGAGCTCACAAAAGTGGGTTAATCTGATGCTTAAAATACCCCTAACAAATGCACTATGAAGGAAATCAGTGAGCAATTCAGATGTGGTTTTAAAGATTTATATCTTCAGTGGGAACCAATCGGCTTGGAGCCACAGACAGAGCAGGAAGGTCTTAAAGAGCCCATATTCTGCTTTTTGAGTGTTGTCCTCTCCTTTAGCGTGTTATAGTTATTTTTGTGCGCAGAAACTTACAAAGCCCAAAGTTACAAACCACCTGAACCACCTTTAATGCCTCATTTAAACGCTTTAAACACTTACTTATGTCATCCTGTTTACGTAACGCCTGCCTACCAGCTAGCTTGACCCTCAAACAAAGAATGAGCAGCTTCCTCACACTTTTCTCACTCAAGCTGCTTCTGCTAAACTCCAAAACGTCTCAGCGACGAGCAAGAAAAAAGCTCCGCTGTTGGCTGCAGGAGTGAACACGAGAGTCTTCATGTACTCCCAGAAACCGAGGAACTAAAGACCCAGTGGATTACTTTTATTTTTGATGACATCCCTGCACCACAATGGGAAAATCCTTAGTGTTAGCACACTGAAGAGCTAAAGTGGCTAATGGTTCCATTAGCATGATGGAACTGAAATGCTAACGGTTGGCATTCAGAAATTGGGGAGACTTGAAGATCGTTTGCCATAATAACTTGTTTCCAACCTCAATACTTTGCCACATTGGTGCAGACGTTCTTGCATTCAGTAGTTCCTTAGCGTTAGCCTTTTGCTAATACTCGTGTCCCTCTTCATGAAGCATTCCCTGACTGACTCCGGCTAACATCTCCCTCCTGCCTCTCCTCAGTCCTTTCCTGGATCCACTCGGCCCGACTGACGGGTCTCCCTTTTCGCTGCTCAGCTTATTCCAGCAATTATTATGATACGTGACGTATGAGGACGATATTCTATTTTTTTAAACATCAAATTGCAGAAGCATATTCAAGTAGGCTCCAAAAAATACAGTTCTACACCTGTAAATGTGCAGAATGTGGGCTCTTTAAGAGATGGTCTGAAACACTGTTGGTTTGTTGTCAATAAGAAATGTAGGAACTTGCTCACTGTGATGGATGACGTTTCTTAGTTAAGTCTCGAGTATGAAAACAATGTGAAACTGCTTAATATATTAGGGTTTTGTTGGCCTAATGTGCAATGAATCATTATTGTAAGCGTGTATTTATAAACTGTATAGAGTCACTTGACTGGAAATAGCAATACATTAATAATTTAACCATAAGAGGTGTCAGCTGATTTGTTGACATCAACCAAAACTGTAGAACCTTACAAATGTGGTGTGTTTCAGGGCCCTGAAGATAAATTTAAGGAGATAATAATCAGAAAAAAAACTAATTTCTGTCACTTCTGCACCAAAATGTGGTATTTTTTTCAAACTTAAGGGTTTAAATGCTGGATGTTTAACCTCTAATCCTAAGGTGATTAAAAGGTGAATGTTTAGCAGTAATGACAAGTAAACACGACTTTTGGTTGTTTTCAGAAACAGTGGTATGGTCCTTTCACGGGCGATAATTCTAAGTGGAATGTCCTCATAAGGATATGTATGTATACAGCAGGCACATGTGTCAGCTGATTGGACTCGAGTGTGTTTGTGTTTGTGTGTGATGACAAACAGATGTGTTGACAGCCTGGATGCAACGACATGTAATATTTATAGAGAGCGTTCCTTTTGGTTCGGCAGTGGTTATGAAGTTTTCATGCGTCTGTCCTCGTTGTTCTTCATGCACGGTTCTGCTTAATGCGCTGTTCTTCCACTCAGTGGTCGGGTTCTCCTCCAGCGGCCTGGGTGCAGTTCAGCCTGCTGAACCCGGGCAGCGTCACCCGTCCGTGGGTGTAGATGTCGCGGTCGGAGCCCTGGTTCATGCGCTTGACCAGGTTCTTCTCGTACAGCAGCGGGTGGTAGGCGCCGAGCGTGCAGGCGGCGTCGTAGAATCGCTGGTAGTAGTGGCAGAGCTCCGTCTTCCTCCGGGACGGCAGAAACTCGTAGACGTGAACCACCTCGCACAGAGACATCATCAGGACGGTGCCTGGCAGGAAACACAGGAAATAACTACTTACACCAAAACCAATGTTTTCTCCAAAGCAGCGGAGCCTCAAAAACTTATTAACTCTATATAACTATTTATGTTGAGTTTAAGAGGCTTTTCTTTGCTGTGTGCTGTGAAACAAGAGAAACGGTGCAAATGTTAGCAGAACCTAGTTTTAGTTCCTCAAAACAAGAATGCAAACAAACAACAAGTAAACAAAACAAGAAGAAATCAGGAAGAACTAAATCGGCGCCATTTTGTTTTTCAGATTCTCGTTTGTTAGCACGGTGTCTTTTCATATTACTCCATTATGATATTTAAGAGCTGGGGGAGGTGTGTGTGGATCGGGAAGTCTGGGCGACTTTGCTAAGGCCGCGACCCGACTCCGGATAAGCGGGAGAAGATGAATAAATGAATGAATGAATGACATTTTACCTAAAAATCTTTATCCCCTACAAATGTGTAATTTATGTGAAAAAAACAAACAAAACCAAACTGCAGCAGCTGCAATGTGGCTAATAACAGCTAGCTGGTGAGATATCCTTTGCTACAGCTAATTTACACAGTGTTTAATGTTTCCTGTATTTGAATAAACAATTTAATGCTCCAACAGTTTGGAAATGTATATACCACATAAAGAATGAAGCTACATCCGATTACAAAGGAGGAGAAACTGCAGATGATCTGGTCCTGCTAATCGCCAACTAGCCTAGCAAAAGTAGCAGTAGTTGTTTCTAGCTAGCGCCAGTGAACCTCACTAAGTTTGAGGTGCATGTCCTTGTGTTTACATTCAGTATGAGCTCCTGTGTTGCTTTGTGCAGTTTGTCCTGATAGAAAGCAGCAGGAAATATGATAGAAAGCTGGAAAATATGATCAGCGAACAAGAAACTACCAGTTAGATAACTAGGTAAGACGTCAGCTAAGCTAACAGGCTACACAGCTTTATGTTAGCTTTATGATTACCAGTTTACTACAAGTAAGAGCACACTCTCAGCTAGAGTAAAGAAATGTTTTACTAAATAAAAATGAAATCATTTAGGGAAATTACTTGAGTGGAAACCAATAGAAGCACAATTAGCATCAATGCCGCGCCAAACACTGGCACTTAGCCTAGTAAGCTAGCAGCTAAAAGAAAAAACAACAATCTGCAGCTTTTTAAAACTACAAGGAGACATTTTTTAATATGGAAACATTATGACCTCGTGTGTTTTCCAACAACTAAAGACTGTTGGTCATTTTTGACGGTAAACAACAGGAATTTCATGTACACTTGGCATCTGTTAGCATTTATAGAGAAGCTTCTGTAGAAATATGTTTATTATTGTTGATGTTGAAAAGTAATAAAATGAGAAATTCTCCAATGGGGGCGAATACTTTTTATAGGCGCTGAAAGGACAAACGATGTCCAGACTGTGAAGCTCCCCAAAGCTGTGATATGAGGCTTTATAAATAAAACCGAATGTGATTTGATTAGGGGATAGAGCGAGCGCCTCACGCCTCTTATTTCCTGGAAGAAACCCTGAAATGTGATTATGAGAAAGTGTTTCTGTGTATTTCCTGTAACATTATCTCCCATTCTTTTCACCTTGACTGCAGGAGACGGCTTCTGATTGAGATGCACAGATTCTGCAGCTGGTGCAGAAGGATTTAACTCGACCTTCAGACTGAACTCTGTCTGAACTGGAGCAGAAACCTGAGTGAATATAGACACCTCGGCACTTCTGTAATCTCTGCAAGCTCCATGCTCATCACTCTGTTCTGCAGCACTCACACAATCCTCCCCAACAGATCAGCAGCAAAACCATCGACCAGATCAGGAAACCCACTGAAAATTATGTCGGAGTAGTTGTGGTCAGAAATGAGCTTCTGAAACACCAAACGGAAAACAGCCATGTGTGTTATGAGCACAGAACAGAGAGGTTTGACGCACCGAGCAGGCCGGAGGACGGCGGGTTCTTCTGGATGGGCTCAGCCATGTTGTCTTGTATTCGCTGCCAGACCTGCCACTCGAAGCGAGGATGCAGGATGTAGAAGGGCTGCAGCGGGTGAAGCCTCCGGTATCTCTGGTACTGGGTGAAGATGGGGTAATCTGTCCGGTTGTACCACTGCAGGATGGAAACACACACAGTCAAACATGTTCGCATCAAACTGCAACAAACTGCTGCAAATTTTAAACAACTTCCTGGACTGTAAGTCAGCCTCATTAACAAACAACACTTGATCAATGGCTGGAATGAATCAAGTGGACATTTTTCCATATGTTGATAAAACTCTTTCAGTTATTAAATGCTATTGATTGGGTTAATTATCGGTTAACAAAACTGTCTAGAATTTGCATCCTTGCTCTAAAGATGTAGCAAATATCCAAAAAATAATAATTATGCAGATTTAGAAATAATTATTGGACCACCTGCTACTTTTTTTTTTTTTTATAAAGACACAAAACAACCACTAAAAGATATAAAGTGACAACAAAGAGACACACAACCACCGTAAAGAAACAAAAAATAACAGAAAACAACCACAAATAGACGAAGACACATCACCACACATACATAGAAAAAGAAAATGACAACAAAAAGATGCAAACTGGTCACAAAGAGACGGAAAACATCACAAAAAAGACACAAAATGATGCAAAGTGGCACAAAAATAACAAAAAGCGAAATATAACAGATACTTAAAATCCACCACTATTAGACTCTAAATGACATAAAATACCTCCCAGAAAAGATCTAACATTACAACAAATAGATACAAAATCAGCACAAGAAGACACAAAGCCTGCACAAAATAGCAAAAAAAACCCACAGAAAGACACAAAATTAGGACAAAGAGGCAAAAAAACACAACAAAATGAAGCAAAAACACTAAAACGTGAAGCAAAACCACTACAAAGAGACACAAAATGAGGACAAAAAGACATAAAATCCTCACAAAACAACCACTATGAGACACAAAACCACCTCAAAAAGACACAAAGTACTGCCCCCGCCCCCCAAAAATAGGACATCATCACAAATACACACAAAGTGACCACAAAAAGTCACAAACCACCACAAAGTGACAAAAAATGACCACAAAAAGATGAAAAATGTCCACACAAAGACAGAGAACCCCACAAAAAGACACAAAAGCACAAAAGAGTGACGCAAAACCACAACAAACAGATGCAAAATGACCATAAAGTGGCACAAAAATACCAAAACAGACTCAAAACCACCACAAAGAGACACAAAATGACCATAACAACACACAAAACAACCACTATGAGACTTAAAATGTTAACATCACCTGTGTGAGGTCAGCAGAGAAGGGGGCGGGGTCCCAGGCCACCAGAACACCTGAGCTGTACAGAGAGCTGGACAGGAAGCGGTGGTCATCCGACGCCATCACCTGTAACACATGGAAAGGTTAACTTTAACACTGAGGCACATATGTACGTTATATCGCTCCCTGTGAAAGAGGATGTAACATTATTAATAATCTAATAGTCAACACAAACACACCGGCTGACCGCACACTGACTCAAAACCTCCAAAAAGAGACACAAAATCCGCACAAAGAGATGCAGAATCACCACAAAAATGCTAAAAATCAGCAAAAACAGACTCAAAACTACCACAGAAAGACACAAAACAACAAAAACAAACACAAAACCACCACAAAGAGACTCAAGATCACAGAAACAAGACTCAAAACCACCACAGACACAAAATCATCACAAAGAATCACAAAACTACCACAAAAAAGACACAAAACCACCTGAAAGAACAAACAAAAACATGACAAAAAGAGACACAAAACCACTGCAAGACTCCATCCATCCATCATCTATCCACCGCTTAATCCTCATTAGGGTCATGGGGGGCTGGAGTCTATCCCAGCTGACTCAGGGTGAAGGCAGGTTCACCTGGACAGGTAACCAGTCTATCACAGGACTACACTTAGAGACAGACAACCAAGCACACTCACATTCACACCTACGGACAATTTACAATCACCAATTAACCTCAACATGTTTTTGGACTGTGTGGGAGGAAGCCAGAGAACCTGGAGAGAACCCACGCTGCACGGGGAGAACATGGAGACTCCACGCAGAAAGAACCGGCGACCTTCTTGCTGCGAGGCAACAGTGCTACCAACTGCGCCACCCTGCAGCCCACTGCAAGACTCAAAATCACCAAATGGAGACACAAAATGATGCCAAAACCACACAAAACCATTAAAAACAAACACGAATCCACCCCAAGGAGACTCAAAACCATCATGAAAACCACAGAAAGTCACCAAAAAGAACAGGCAAAAACATCACAAAAAGAGAAACAAACCCTCAAGACACAAAACTATCAAAAAGCAACACAAAACAACTACAAAGAGACACAGAACCACCAAAAAAAAAAACCTTAATCACCAAAACAGACTCAAGACCACTTGAAATACCACAACACCAATTTCCAAAACACACAAAACCACCACAAAGCGACACCAAACCACCACAGCGGTCCTTTAAAAGGCTGCCGTTCGTCCTGAATCGTACTAACACACGGCCTCAAAGCACAAAACGTCACAATTCAGATGCTCCAGATACATTTCAGATACCAACACCACAGCTCCAACAACATTTCCTTGACAGAAAAAACAGTTTCTTGACTTTTCTGTCGTCTACAGGGACACAAACTCCTCCAATGAACAAAACTCCTCCAACAAGTCTGTGTTTGCTCCATTTTGTTTAATAATCTGGAGCTGGCTGCAGCTTTTCTCAGTTTCACATCACATTAAACTGATTATTTACACCTTCAGAAGGGCTCACTTTGGTCTCTGATGTTGTGATTTTTATTATTTTCTTACATGTAATCCACAAATCTGTCTGTAAAACTAAATTCGGCACAACAAATATTCAGAATAATCACACAAACGTGCCTTGAAAACCTAAAATGCTGCAAAAAGTATTAAAAATCCAGTAAAAAAAAAAAAAAAAAAAAGCACTCTATGGTAGTAGCTGTACAGATAAATACACAAGCGAGTGGAGATGATTCAAGAAGCACTCGAGCGCTCGTGACACTTGTTTCGGCTCCTCCTAGCGACTTGTACTCGCTGTAAAAACATCTAAAAACACCCACCAGCAGCTGATCTCTGCCTCCACGAAAAAACGCCCACAGTCCATCTGAAAAACGGCCAAAAGTTTACAGCGATGCCAAACATGCGAAGGAGACGCGTGTTGAATAATGCAGAGACGAGCTGCATGTTGTGCAGCGTTTCCCTCTCAGTCTGGTTCACACCGAACGTTACGACGACACATTTCACACGATGGGCTCAATGTAAGAGTTTAAAAAACTAAAATGACCGAATACAAATATCTTAATTTAAAAAAAATTTTAAAAAAGAGGACGATACTAAAAGCAGCAGGATCCAAATGGTTTCCACAGCAACCAGTTTTTTTTTAAAACCACCATCATGTAGCGATGAAGCATCCAGTGTTTTACCAGCTGACCTGTTGCCCTTCAAGTATTTTCAGCTGAACTGAAAGCTGGTGGCTGTGAAAGTATTTACAGTTAAAACCAGAAGTTTACATCCACTGTATAAAAAGACATAAAACCTTTTTGTTTCTCACTGTCTGACATTAAATCGGACTAAACTTTTCCTGTTTTAGGTCAGGTAGGATTACCAACATTATTTCTATTTGCTAAACACCAGAGTAATGAGAGAGAGGATTTTTTATTACTTTCTTCAAAGTGAGAAGTTTACATCCATCTCCTCAGTATCTGGTAGCGTTGCCTTTAAACTGCATGACTTGGGTCAAATGTTTTGGGTTTCCTTCCACAAGTCCACCAGTCCCTCCTGCAGCAGAACAGCCCCACAACATGATGCTGCCAGCCCGGGGTTCACAGTTGGGATGGTGTTCTCAGGCTTCAAGCTTCCTCCTTTTTCCTCCAGATGTAACGATGGTCATTAAGGCCAAATGGTTCGGGTTTAGTTCCATCAGAACACAGGACATGTCTCCACTAATGAAGCTCTTTGTCTCTGTGTGCATTTACAAACTGTAATCTGTCTTTTTTCATGTTTCTTCTGGAGTAATGTCTTCTTCCTCTATGAGTATCCTTCCAGTCCATGTCGGTACAGGACTGGTTCCACTGTGGATAATGACTCTCTGACCAGCTTCAGCAGCATCTTCACAAAGTCTTTAGCTTCTGTTCTGGGGTTGATTTGCACATTTCAAACTAAAACACTTCATCTCTGGGACACAGAACCGTCTCCTTCCTGAGCGCTATGATGGCTGGACATTCCCATGGTGGTCATACTTGATATAACTGTTTGAACAGATGAACGTGGAACCTTCAGGCATCTGGAAACTGTACCCAAGGATGATCCAGACTAGTGGAGGTCCACAGTTCTCTTCCTGGTATCTCGGCTGAGTTCTTTAGGTTTTCCATGTTGTCACCAAAGGAAGCAGTGTGTTTGAGGTGTGCCTTAAAATGCATCCACAGGTGTGCCTCCAGTTAACTCACATGTTGTCAATGAACCAATCAGAAGCTTCCAAAGTCATGACATCATCATCTGGGCTTTCCCAAAAAAAAAGTTTGAAGGCATCTTAGTGGATGTAAACTTCTGACTTTGAAGAAAGTAATAAAAAATTCTCTCTCTCATTACTCTGGTGTTTAGCAAATATAAATAATGTTGGTAATCCTGACTGACCTAAAACAGGAAAAGTTTAGTCTGATTTAATGTCAGACAGTGAGAAAAAAAAAGGATTTATGTCTTTTAATTCGGTGTATGTAAACCTCTGTTTTCAACTGCATATGTAACTGTAGTATGTATTCATCAGTGCCTACTTGCCGTCTCCTCATAATGAGCAGTAATCTGATAAGAACGCAACCTCATCATCTGCATAAGCAAGTACCGTCTTTATTTATGAAGAATTCTTTTATAACAGGGCTTCTCAAACTCTGGAATCAGGCCTCACCTGGAAAAATAAAATCTGCAATTCCTTAAATGTCCACTAGAGGCTCCAACAGTGAGTCAATCCCCATTAACCTGCATGTTAAAAGCCCAACTTTACAGGAAAAACACCATGTTTACAACCTGGAACAAAGAAAAAGTTTTGGTCTCTGTGGCTAGTTTCATCGCTCCAGACAGCTGGACGAGATGTGATTCTTCTTGGAACTCACCTGTTTTAACTTTATTAGTTCTTGAAGTCATGCATAATGAAGGGCGTGGCTGCTTTGGGTGACACATGGAGCCACCAAACTGAGCAGTACAGCCGTCTTGTGTCCTATTCCTTGTATTTTTTAGCAGAGTCCCAGTAACACGAGTGAGTAAAAGGTGCTCATTCTAACATAGATTGGGAGAAATTACAACTCGCTCTGGTGGCTGTCGGAAAGGCTGATGTCTACGTAATTACAGTGTGCTGCCTTCCTTGGCGGGAAAAGAAGGATCTGATGAATCTGCCTTTGATTTCCACTGTTTAGCACAATAGTCCTGATTGTACACTGCTTGGGTCTTACTCTGACGGTTTATACGTGTTTCTGTTTCTCTGTGAGACTAAGTTTACGCTCACAAATACACAAAGTCCATCCACACAAAGCTAATCACTGGCAACTTTTCCACATCCTGTTTTCTTGTCTTAAGCTGTCGACGCAGCACGTTTCCTGCAATGTGACGAATAAAGCTCAATTACACTGATGCGTTGCAGGATAGACATTACCTCCGTTTGGCCTCGAGAGCTTGTTAGATGAGCGTAATTACAAGTGATGCATTACAGTCTGCATTCTCTGATCTACCCAAGGCTTGTGCAGCAATATTAAGCAGAGTTAGGATGAGGGAAAGGAGAGCTGGAAGAAAAAAACCCCCAAAAACCTGTGGAATCTGGTGTTCACCTCTACTGAGGCCCCATTTTAGATAATCAGTATTTCACAAATAGGACTTCTTTTTTTTTTGCGTCTGTGGAAAAAGCTCCTCATACGATGGCTTCGCAGTGAGACAGGACTGAGCTCTCTGTGCCGGACGAATGCTTTAAATATTAAAAGCACATGCGGTTTCATGAATAGAGTGTTATGGGGATATGAATGAATACGAATCTCTGCCTTTGTGTCCCAGGCTGCCTCCAAAAAACACTCAATGGCCGGCTTTTCCCAGGAAATGCAAAAGACAGATGAAGACAGATTGAGAGAGAGAAGGACACCATATCCACAGTAAAGCCTATAATCAGGCGTTAAGGCCAATAAATACTGATTTATAGTTAAAAACACACACGGGACAGAAAAGCCTGAGTAATGTATTACAAGGTCAGCGTGTACATCTGACCATGACGGCTGTCTTGGAAATAACATGTTTCCCACTGAGGAGTTTCAGATTTTTCTAAGTTAAAAAAAAGCATTTTAATCATTTTTTTTAAATCAACACAAACACATTGACCACAAACTAACTCAAAGCCAATGTAAAGACACAAAATGACCTCAAAGAAACAGAAAACCACAACAAAGAGACACAAATTACCAAACAGACATGCAAAACCACCAAAAAGAAGTGCAAAACCACCACAGAGGCAAAAAAAACACCAAAAGGAGACTCAAAACTACCACAAAGCGACACAAAATTACCAAAAAGAGACACAAAACCACCAACAAGAAACAGAAAACCACCACAAAGAAACATAGAATCATCAAAAAGAGATTCAAAACTACCACAAAAGGACACAAAATTACCAAAAAGAGACACAAAACGACCAAAAAGAAACAGAAAACGACTAAAAAAAAAACACAAAGCCACCAAAAACAAACACTAAACAATCCCAAAAATCCACAGAATCACCACAAAGACACACAAAACGACCACAGAGACACAAAATCACCACAAAGCGGCTCCATTTTAATGCTGCGCTTGTTTTCCAGATGAACATAACGACAGACTGATGAGAGCATTTCAACATTTCATTCATTCATAAAACAAGAACACAACACTTTCTCTTTTTCAGATTTGCCTTCTGAACTTTATAAGACTATTCTCAGTAACTTCAGGGCTGTAGCACGGCTCCTAGCGTCCCCGTGAAGCCTGCCGAGGTTCAGCACTGTTAACTACACGACAGTCGGTTCCTGCGGTTTTTACCTGCGAGTTGATGAGGCGGATGGTGGTTTTGGAGCCGACGTCTTTCTCGTAGCCGGCGGTGGGCGCGGCGTTGAAGCGCAGCACGGCGTCGTGAGAGTCTGCAGGTTGGAAACGACATGTGTGTTAGGAGGAGCTCGACTTTGTGGGTCTGTTTCTGCACAGAGGAGCCTTTAACCGGCGAGGAGAGAGCTGCATTTAGGAGTCTGGTGTCACTAAATTAAGGAAGGTCACTCTGTACACTGGGGACGAATCCTCAAAGAAAAGAGCGTCTCTGAAACAACGAGGCCGCCCAGCTTCATTCAAGGTGAGACGACACATGCAGATGAGAACAGAGTTACACGTCATGTTTATTTGAGAAAAACACGGCAGCTTCATACAGTCATGCTCAAATGTATTCTATTAAAGAAAAGACAAAATTCACAACAGTCGCTCAAATAACCAGAAAATGAAAAAAGTACGAATAAATAAAAATTTGCTAAATTATAATTCAGTGAAATAAGACATTGCTTTTGAATTGTGGTTGAAAAGAATAAAAAAAACAAAAAAACAAAACTGTCCCGGCAGTGGACCAAAATCAGAACACCTGTCAACAGGAGGAGTCTGACTGAGAGTTACAGGAAACACCTGAAGGCAGTGATCGGCTCAAAATGTTAGTTTATGGGTCCCATCATGCTTGTTTTTGTTTTTTTGTTGTTCTTTTTAAAAATATATATATTTCTGTTGAATCACAATTCAAAAGCAATGTCATGATTTTCATTAAATTTGTCTTTATTATTACTGTTGTCAGTTTCAGCTTATTTCAGTGACAGCTGTTGTTTTCCTTCTTTAATGGGAGATAAATCTAAAGGCGACTGTAAATACTTCTCAAGCGCTGGAGCTGCAGAAATAAAGACGAGAGCTTTCTTCTTCGAGGTTTAACCTTCTGGGCATTTTTTATTGTTTTTCTTTGCTCCTGTCACATAATTTTTCTTCACTGTGGCTCATGTTTCACTGCAATCTAAAGTCCTGCAGCTTCATGCAAACAAACAACATGAAGACGGAGCGAGAACGTTAGAAATCAGAAAAAAAAAATCACGTTTAGTTTCTTTAAGTTTAATTTAAATTAACTGGAATCAGCACGTATGACATTTTTCCAACAGATATTTGACTATTTCCATGTTTACAGCCTCTCTGAGACATTTCACCGTTCTGAATGTGTCCTCCAACAGCTTCTCCTCTGTTCACTGTTTTCGAGCCATTTATTTAATTGTGTTTTGTTTTCCTCTCTGGATTTTTGTCATGTGATTGTTGGTCACAGTTGAATCACTGATGGTTTCTTCTTTGTGCTGAAGTGAGCAGAACAAGTTCCGTTTTTTTTGTTTTTATTTTTGTTTAAATTTTCAAAACGAGATAATAAAATGGTTCACATGAAGTACTGCGATTTTAAGCGGAGATTTGGCTGCTCTTCAGGATATCGATTCTTTTCACAGAAATGTAAAAATTCCACAAATTCTTCCTGCTTTTACAGTTTCTGGCTGATAAGAATAAACGTCTTTTAAAAAAACCCCACTGGTGCCTTTTTGGGGTTCAGAGGGTCTAAAGCTTGTTCCCACACAACTCTGCACAGAGCAGCTAAAAATAGCTTTAAATGACCCCTGGAGGCATTGGGGAAGTTTGTGCATTCATTAAACTGTTTTACAGACGTCTCTCGTACAAAGGGGGTCAACGGGGAGAACACTAGACTCCTGTTTTGCCTGCAGTGACTCAATGTGAACAGAAAACGGACCGGAAATACAGATTTTAAAAGAATGTAGCTTCCTTGGTGCAGACAAACGAATCCCACTACACATGTGGAAGCATCCGAGCAGAAGCTTCAGACTGTGGTTAAAATAAAAACACACTTCTGGAGGAGGATTTCAACGAAGGTCATTCCTGCACATTGTAAATACGTTTATAATATCTTGGATTGACAACACTTGATTTATTTTTTTAAAATCTTTTGTGCTACATACAAAAAAAAAAGCCAAATTCTTTGTATGTGAAAACCTTCTTGGAAACATCGCATGTCATTTGCTGCGATAATACTTGCAAATTGTTTTATGTTGGCCTTTAAATCAAGGAAAACAATCTTTTGTGGTGTGACAATGTGATGTTTTTTATGTGTTTTATCATTAAACTGCGCAACTCAGAAACTGGGGAACAAATTATTATTATTATTATTTTATTCACGCGTCATTCCACCTCAGTTCACCAGATGGCTCGGATCGGGTTGAAAACGTTTGAGGATTGAGGTTTATCATCAAGATGCCATAATACCAAGTGTTAGGGTCATAACTGTGACAGTCTTTGCTACAAAAAATATTTTAAAAATCATCTTTTTTTGCCAAATTTGTGATGAGACCTGAGGAAAGGGACACAATAACCATCTTTGTACATCCATAAGACATACAGGATTTACAACAGACGTCTAAAAAAAATCCCTTTTTTAATTTTTTGACCATGACAACTTAGGAAGAATCTCCCTCAAATGACTTCAATTATGTCTTGATATGACTTTTCATTCATTGGCAACTGGAGCATAAAGTGTATGTAAAGTTGTGATACTTACCATTTTTGAGGATCAATGCCTCAGAGGCTGTAAGTGTCATCTTGGTGGTGGTTTTGTGGCTCTTTTTGGTGATTGTTAGTCTTATTGTGGTGGTTTTGTATTTATTCATGGCGATTTTGTGTCTTTCTGTGTTTGTGTCGTGTCTCTTTTTGGTGATTCTGTGTATTTTTGTGTTTCTTTTTGGTGGTTTTGTGTCTCTTTGTGATACTTTTGAGTTTCTTTGTGGAGATTTTTATACTTATTGTGGTAATTTGGTATTTCTTGGTGGTTTTGTGTCTGTTTGCATTTGTTTTGTGTCTCTTTGTGATGGTTTTGTGTTTCTTTTTGGTGTCTTTTAGTCTGTTTGTGGTGGTTTTGCGTCGCTTTTTGGTAATTTTGTGTCTCTTTGTGGTGGTTTTGTCTCTTTGTGGTAGTTTTAAGTCTGTTTCTGGTGAATTTATATATTGAAATATCTCATATTGGACCACGTAACATTAAAACTTCTGACTTCTGTTGTAAATCCTGTATGTTTTATCAGTGTACAAAGATGGCGCTAATATTTCCTGACATTGACCAGGCCATAGAATCTCAGCATATGCACTGAGGGACCTGTAATGAGGGATTTAAACACCTCTAGTATGGAGGAACTGTGTTCTCAAATTTGAAGTCTGTACCTTAAAAGCTTCTTGAGATACTGTCATCCAAAGTTAGTGTGTCGTTACAAATTTGGCAAAAACTATCACAGTTATGACCCTAAAGTTTGGAGTGATACCATCTTGATGATAAACCTCCATCCCCAGATGTTTTCACCCAATCTGAGGTGGTCATGTGGGAAGACTTTCTGAGATCTGGTGAACTGAGGTGGAGCCAAGAACTACGTGATGCGAGTTTGGACGCAAAAGTGTGGCGTGAAAGGTTAAAGATCCATGTAAGAAATCTCTCACCGATCTCTTTGCCCAGCCCAGAGTAGCGCAGCGACCCGGCCGACGACACCACAGCGCAACTCTTGTATGGCCCGAGGTCAGAGGTCAGCGGCTTCGGCGGCAGCTGGGCGGCCCAGGGCAGCGCCGAGAAGGGCTGGAGGTCGGCGGTCAAAGTCATGACCTCCACGTTGTCCTTTAGCTGGCAGAGGAGCTCAGGACCGCTCAGCTTGGGCCGGCTGGAGACACCGCCGGGGCCCGACAACTGGACTCCATATTTATTCATCGCCTGGAAAAAACACACAAGACTTCAGTCTGAGTTTAAACAAATATACACACAAGTTCAGACACACGTGGGCTTTAAAAGGCATGTTACCTTCAAAAACAACACAAAACCCAAAAAAATGCACACCCGTAATCAGCCAGAAACTGTAAAAACAGAACAAACCATCAGATTTTCAACTTTCCGATGGTCCTTGAACTAATTGTGTGCGATTAGTTGGCCGACACGAAAGCATAAAAAATCGTAACATTTCATCAAAACCACTAGACTAAGGTAAAAATTCACCAAAAATAAAACGTTTGTTCCAAAGAGATTCTATAAAAAAAACAAAAAACTCTGCGTTTTACGGCAGAACCACGCAGTCATGAGGGACTCGGCTGTGGCCAACAGTCACGTGACAAAAATCTTTTTGGGGACTTTTTGGTTGAACTGCAGGCAGTGTTTAAACAGCAAAGAAGAGACAAATATGGGAGCAAATCAAAAATGTAAGTAGTGAATTATCTATGTAGTATGTAGAGCCACAAAATTTCCCCACACCTGTTGAACACGCTAATTCCAATTTATTTAAATTTCCTCTTTTGTTTTCTGTTTTTGTTTGATTTCTGGCATTCTAGTCGGAGATCTTGGAGCAGCTGAGCAGCCACGACTGACTCAGCGGTGACCAACAGGCAGGCAGTGTTTACACAGAACAAGTACGGAAACAATTTAAAATCTAAATAGTAAAATATCT